AGTAGGACTGTTAGTTGCAGTTGCAGAAGGAGGCGGAAATGCAGCGGAGTATGAAAGGCCTGCTTGTTCAGCTGCCCACTGCGGTCCTGCAGTTTGAACTGCTTCAGGCTTTGAGGGTGTCGCCCCAACTTTTGGCGGTTGCAGGAGGAGTTTACAGGCAAGAATCTAAGAAGTTGCTCAACACGCAGATATGTCAAGCAGCGCCTCGTCCATGCGCTCAAACATGCTTCCGACCAGGGAGGTCAACTCCTGGCAAGGATCCAGTAGATCAGGAAAGGGCTTAGGGCTTAGGGTCCAGGATTGAAATTTCCGGGTTTTGGGCTCCGAACATGCACTACAAGGCTGACCTCAGGATTCAGAAGAGGTCAGCTGTCATCCCTTCTATTGCACTTTCATATCATGTCGAGGGCTGCAGAATCAATCGTGAGGTGAAGGGATGAAAGGCTACGAGTAGGGCAGATCGCCCATCTGGCTCTTGCATCTCAGAGAGTGTCTTCGTAGCATCGATGCTTGCTGCTCATCTTCTCTGAGGACCATCAGAGCTAAGAAGCACCCCACTTTGGAACGCGCCTCCCTGGACATTCCATGGACGAGGAGCTCTTCCGCTTGGAGGTCCACATCGGACTCGGCAGTGATCATATCATCAAACCCTAAGGCAACAACTCTAAACCGTAGATCACCCGCTTGTATTCCCTATACGCCGTAATATGAATCTGAATCGTGCTCAGACGTGCATGCATACGTACGTGCAGACATCATGTTCATGTGCCCAAACACTCATATATTTCGGATTATTATGTGAGTGGACAGCAAACAATCAATTCACAAATCCATTGAAATCCAGGCATGAATGTATGCATGCATGAGCATGAGCATGAGCATGAGCGTGAGAGCACAAGCATAAGCAAAGGATAAGGATCTCGCGATGTGCTGCTCGAGTCGCTTCTTGGCGTACCTGGTGCACACAAGGTAGGCGCACAGATCCTTTAAGCGTGGCGACGGCTCCCTGTCCAGACCATGCAAACAAAGCTCGCAACGAAGTGCAGTATACATAGTATTTCGGATACATTTGTATCCACAATATTTAAGCTGTGCTTGCATACACAGACATAATTACATACATACATACATACATACATACATACATACATACATACATACATACGTACGTACGTACATACATACGTACAGACGAACCTACATATATCAAGGAGACTGGCCAGGCGCACATGCCCTGGATGATCTGCAAGGCCAACGGGATAAACTCCTGCAGCCCCAGACAACAAAAGCACGTCTGCCTTTGGTGTTCGACTATATACCCTATATGTACCCTTAAGGGTCCCTAGAGAGGCCTAAGGGTCCAAAATAGGGGCCCATACTTCTTACCCTCCGATGTCCCGGGGCATCTGATGTTCTCTGCAGGTTTGAGGCCTCGTACTCGATCATTCCGTCCGCATTCATGTCCGCCTGCACACGGAGAGGCTTGGGTACTTCTCTAAATTATTTTAGGTCCCCAATATAGTACGGCACCCTTATAAAAGGGACGGCACCCTTATAAAAGGGACCCTCATGTAGAGAACTACCCGCTTCGACAGTGGAACGCACAGAAGCCTGGAACGACAGAAAAAGGCTCCAAAACTCTCACCGCAAAAACCCTGCAGCCTAAACCCTCCCTAATTTTCCCCTGGCGCTGTGAGAGCCTCAGCCAAGAAGAGGAGTATCTCGTCCTTGGGAAAATCCAGCCGCTGCCTTGCAGGCGAGCCAAGCACATGACACGCCAAGGTCCCGCTTGGCTGAAGGCTTACCTGGACCCTAAAGAAACTACTCCTACACTTATAGGTTTCCTTATATTATGATTTCCCTAACCATTTTTATATTCAGGATCCTACAAAAGTAACCCCAAAAACAAACTACAATGGAGGCTCAAGGTAGGGGCCCTGATTCAGATGACTTAGGGTCAAAAGGGCTTAAGATACCAACTTGCAGGTTCAGAGGGATAGGCGATGTTCGAGGGACGAGATACTCCTAGCTATCATTTCGCATGCTCCTTCGCGTATCGCGCCCACGGGAATTCCAGAAAATGGTCAACCCCGCTAAACCCATATTGGGATAAGCAGTAAAGAGCCCGAAGATGAGAACGAGACGGTCTTGCAAGGCAATGTGTAAGGAGTCGGCTGCAAGTCTTCCATCAAAGACTTAAACTCTGCGGGGTCCAGGAACTGGCTTCCATCCTGGCCGGCAGTGCTCTTCAGTGTTAAGGTGGCCATTACTATGCTTACAGCTACTATACCACACTTCTTGTTCATGTCGTGTGATCATGTCTATGCCTGCTTCAATTTCGCAGCTCATGGTCAGATTGTGATCTGAGCCCTGCGAGGATGCCTTGTCGTACTTCTTGAAGAGGTCATGGATGATTCCCTCGACCTCATCGAGCGACCTGTTTATGGTTTATCATGACCGCGCCGGACCCACAAAGCACGACAAGGTCTGCAGCCACGACGATCCATGAGCCCGAGCATCTTCCAAGGGCGAATGGGTGATTGACACCACGAATTTGGGGTTTAGGGCGTTCCAGAAAATAGAAACGGACTCTACGGCATCGTGCATACTCTAAACTCTTTTCGACCGTGCATCATCTTCCACGATACAATTCGATGCAAGACAATACTAGTACTAGACTGCGCTTTGCTATGGCTACACTATACTACTGTGTATACTGTATTGAACTGAGCTAAACTATACTTTCGATTCTTATACTATCGCGTACTATACTACACTACAGTACACTACGCTGCACAACACACTACTGTATACTATAGTTTATCAGATAATATACTATACCTTGCTCTGCCGTGCCATACTCTTCCACGCAATGGTAGACTTTACATTCCGAACATACTATCCTACATTATCCTGATTGCACCACCTCACTACGCAATACTACCCTATACGATACTACACATTTCCACATTTCATACCATAATACTATATCATACCAGACCAGACCATACTACTATAGTGTGTTATACTATGCTATGCTGTGCTATGCTCTAGTGGGAAAGCAGCGAAGAAACGAGCTTTAAAACAATCTCGAGTTAAGTGCCCGGTTTCTACTATAGTATGATTTAGTCCGGTCTAGTTTAATATACGATGCTATAGTGTACTGCGCTGTTGTATTTTAGACTAGACGAGGCTAGATCACACCATAGCACACACACACACACACAGTTACATAATCCAGACCTACCTACCTACCTACCTACCTACCTACCTACCTACCTACCTACCTACCTGTGCACACAAGTGATTTCTGACTGTGGCCCTGGCATGTCTAGCTCTTCTGCTGCAGTTGCCTCGAGCTCCACAGAGACGGCGAGCAAGTCTGGCTCTATGCACCGATAAGACCGTACAGCGTACAGCAGCTGCAAGTGCCTGCCCGGCATCAACTGGAAGGCCGCTGGCCAAGCATTCGAAATACCTGACGGCAGCTGCGGAGGCACCAGGAATGAACCCTGAAAGCCCTGCACCTAAACACCCCAAACCTGAAACCGCAACTACATGACGGGCACTTGGCCGCAAACTCATGGATGTTCTCCGGCTGGGAGCGGAGAACTTCTCGGGTGAAGTCCTGTATAGACATGATCCATGCCGCCCGCCTTATGGGTTCTCTGCGGTACGATTGTATACGTGTCGGTTTCTTACCAGGTCCGTACGAGCAGGGCCTACAGACGGTTTACATGAGGCTTCTTATTCAGATCTATTTCGGGCTTGGGGCTTCTACAGTGTTTGTACACGTTGAGGGCAAGTGCTGCGAGCGCAAGCGGTCCTTGAGAATGTCAGGAAACTCAGGTGGTACCTGCCAGGGAATTTCCAAGCAGACTCCCTGACCACACGCCACAGATTTCTGCCAGCACCGAGGCTCTTTCCTGGTACTGTTTTGCGAACTTGCTGGACCTGGGAGCGGGAAGCTGCTTGGGATGCGGCTGTTCGCTTGTCCAGGCAATAAAACATCTTGGCTGTTATTTTGGTATGATGAGCTGAGCCCGAAGGCTACTCAGTGCACATTTCAGAGCCTCACTTGAAAGACGGCCCGAATCCAGCAGCTAGAGTACTGACTGATGCTTCGAATCTGGAGCCCACAACCGAGCGGTTGTAGCCCGGGCTAACAGTCTGAGAACACAAGAGACTCAGAAGCAAGATCCTGCTCTCAGGCGGCTACATGGCTGCTGGCCCCACAGGTTCGTGGGGGACTCGCCCAGCTCTACAGTACACTGAGCCAACAACCGGCCCGGCGACATGGGCGAAGCGCGAAGCAGTTTTGCGCAACGGACCATGAAAGAGCAGAGCCTCGAGTCCAAAGCGAGTGTCGCCTGCTGTCTGTCGGGGTCTAGAATTCAGCGAGCTCCAGCAGACAGCAGCAGGTCAGAAAGCTGAGGCAAGCTTGTTTTCACACCTTAGGCGTGCAGAAAGGTCCTCCCGCTTTGCGGGCACAAGAACCGGCGCAGCGACGAGCTCTGCCACAGGTTGCCAGCTTACCCCTGCGCACGCTGCCAAATAAGTCAGCACTTTTGAGCTGAATGCGGTGGCATTCAGAACTCGTCAGCGGCGAGCATAGTGTACATGGCCCTCGATAATAAAGTCTAAGGACATGTGCAGTGCCCGCAGTCCCTTTTGCAAAGCAGGGAGGCGCAGCATGGAACCTCCTCGAAGCCTCAAGGACAGGGAGATGCTGGTGGGGCAGAGCAGCGTCCGAGCAGGCTCTGTGAAGGAAGCAAGAACATACAGCTCTCGCACTGAGTAACCATGGTGTGCGTGGTGAGTACCTGTTAGTGCAGGTAGTAGTAGGTCAAAGCGGTAGCAGGTCGCCGCGTTTGCGAGGCTACTGGCTCAAGTTAGTGGCAGTGGTAGGTTGTGGTAGGGCCTGGTAGGGGGGAGCAGGAGCAGCAGCAGCGGCAGCGGCAGCCGTGTCGGTACTCTGCTCACCATTGTTGCTGTGAGTGCTCCTGCCGCAAATACCGACATCA